CTCATAGGCGCCAGCATCCCCTGCTGTAGCACATCGTACACCTTGTCACTGTCAGGTTGAACCTTTTTTCTAATGTCCTGAAGTCAACCGCAAAGGACAAAAGTATACGTCATGCCTCTCTCCGTGTCGCGTTTATTCGGGCCCTTACCGCATGAAGTCGGGTGCGACAGGCCCCAACTAGGGGAGGGTCCCCAAAACTTCGCGTGTCTACACTGGTCGATGACTCAACTCTCTTGGTTGAGTGTAGGGGAAGAGTCCAGATATGTAGAGTTTTGGAAACCCATCCCCTATTCGGAGTTTGCTGCGCCCAGCCCATAGTCTACGCTGCCATCAGAACTAGATCGTTGTCCAGGTAGCGGAAGTCCTCTATTCCTTCAGTGCTCGGATCTCACAGTTACCTGGAGGAGGTAGTCCAGTAAAAATCGTGCCCCCCTGTAACGTGCACTGCCGCTAGGTCAAATCCTGTCCAGGCTATTCAAGCTTGCACATTCCATCACTCCAGAGTCATTTGAGTGTATACCACACTCTCCTAGGAAGATATAGGCAAGGAGTTGAACACAGGCCAGCCGTTAATAAGCTTATAGTAATGTAAGTCATTGCATCGGCCAAATTTAATAAGAAAATCTTATGCTACTTTAAACAAAATTGGGATGCTTCCACATTCCAAAAAAACCTGTTGACATCGAATAGTTTTCTTTTATTCGTGATTTTCTATACATTCAGGACGGAACTCAGTGGCTACGGTACCTTGTCAAGTATGTGGCGATCGTTCCTACGGTCGACACTATGGCCAGTGGACCTGCGATGGCTGCAGTTGCTTTTTCAAACGAAGCATTCGAAAAAGCATCCTCTACACTTGCATTTGTCAGTGTTCCATTTCTATGGTTGCTGAGAATGCGTCCTGCTCGAATTGACCAAAACTGGCTTTTAATTATAAGCTATAAAGCAATTTGCAAAATAATGCAGTTTTTGATCATTTTTTTTGCAATATGCTATTTTTCGTAATTCGGGAGAAAAGAGTTATCACAAGGGCTGATTTATGAGCGGAACACTTCGCCCCAGCCAGTACTTGAGCCCGAGCTTGTGTCTTCCGAACAGGTACAGTAACCATACATCACTAACCGGGGAAGGCATTCAACTTCCCATGAAACTTTAAGTTGAGACCCATATATTTTGATAGAGTTTGAAAAGCCGATTACAAATATTGAAACTAAAACTGCAAAATGAAGCTTCCAAGAAAGATGTGGGCCCTTGAAATTGAGTGGAAGTAAAGCCTCACGCATGAATCATGCCAGCGTCCTGTCATTAAGAGTCGACGTGGAGCAGTGGTAATGCTCTCGCTCTCCAGCCCGTAAGTCATGCGTTCTCTTTCCGTTGAAGTACGAGATTTTAGAACACTACTAGATCTCCACGGCGGTCCTGAATACCCGGACATCAGCATGGTTCATACGTAGCGCTTTGGTTCCTGTCAACTTTGACTGCTCACAACTTCTTTGTCAGGTTCGTTTTGCAGTTCTGGCATCCATATTTGTAATCAGCTTTCGAAGCTCTATTGACATATCTAGGTCTCAATTCAAAGTTCCATGGGAAGCTGAATGCCTCCCCTGGTAAGGCTAGGTTTCGCCGTAACTTTTATTTTATAGAACATTTACCATAGCTAAGTGAGGAGAGTCGTTACAAGACTTGCCTCATTGGCGTAATGGTTAGCACGGCTACCCCCAATGTGAAAGACCCGTGTTCAAATCTCGGCTGAGGCAACGTGTTCTGCCCACAGCTCATCCTGATAGTTGATAAAAAATGTCATATTAACATAGTTAGTAGTTATATCATATTAATTAGTTAGTACATTATTAGTTAGTTAATAGTTATATCATATTAATTTGATTGGTGATTTTAGTAAGACAAACAAAAAAACAAGAAATGTGAATAAGTAAACGAAGCAAGGAACGAAAAATAAAGGGTCGAAGCAGGAAAGTAAAATTAAGGAAACAAAATGATTCTTCTGATTTTTAGCTGGACAAAATGACTGTGTGATTGACAAGGCTCGTCGGAATTGGTGTCCATCGTGTCGGCTAGCAAAGTGTTTTCGGCTGAATATGAACTCGAAAGGTAACGTCAGTCAAAATTTTAATGTTGAAAAAAATATATCTGTGCTTTCGTCCCATTTCAGCTGTGCAGGGAGAGCGAGGTCCGCGATCTGCACCACCAGTTCTACTTCCGGGGTCTGCTTCGAGGAGAAATAAACTACAAGGTTTCTTTCAATGTTGATCTCTAGATGATTGTGGGGGTCCTATGAAAAGGCTACTGAAATTCCAGGGTCTAAGATACAACAGATGAAGAAGTCTTCAGCTGCTACTGACTTCTCCATTGATGATTTATTCGTGGCGGCCATGTTCGCTGTGAGCCAGTCGGTGCTTCTCTCCTTCAGCAGTGGCGAAGAACGACGAGCGCTACTCAAAGAACGATATCCGACGTTTTTTGCTCTGGCCATCGCCACCGCGGATGCTAAAACCAGTGCTATCGTAAGTGACAGGGCACGATCTTTACTGTTCCTTAGAACAATTACTAGTAATCTCACTATAATACTATATTTAACTCCGATATAACTAGAATCAATAGTGGAACGCGTGGAGTGGTCTAGATACTTCTTCTGCTATTATAGGTATCGTTTGGGTATATCCAGTAGTATGCAGTCTCTGACCTACACGGGGGGGGGGGCAAAAAATCCCTTTACCCATGGCGCACACCTCCAAATTTTTCGTCGCCCACGGCGCCGATGTTGATGGAAGCTGTCGGCGAAATATTCCTCAGGTGTCCCCTCATTTACGAAGGGAGGCCCTCCTTCACTGCTCTTACCGTCCCCGGACTGACGTCATCTGTCATCACCGTCAAGCTCAAGGAGGCCTACCGTAACTGCTTCAGCCTGGAGCCCTTGCATGATTTCTTGAATCGATTCAATGTTGGATGGCTTCCTAGAGAGATTGGTCCCGATCGTGCAAGACCGTTTGACCATCGTTTCAAAAAGCATGGCATGGCCCATGACCCGTCGGATCTTATGGTTAGTGAGCTCGTGCCGTGCCAGCTTGTTCACGTGGGAAAATCTTCCGAAGCCGTCGCTTTGGAAAGCAGTTACGATGTTTTCTGATAGAATGTAATGGGCTCTTCGAAAAACACTTAGGAGCATTCGGTAAGATCCAAGCAAGTGGAAATATTCAGCTTCAAGTTTAGAGGAAAAGCGATGTTTTTGCCCCATCCCCCCTAATTAGAGAAGTGATCTGAGGACCTTGTATCCCCACTATTTGTAGAATCTTGTCTCGATACTACCACTCCAACCCTTTGCTTCACGTACAGATCTACGAAGGATAGGAGGGTAAAGAGAAAATAAAAATTTCGGTGTCAATCAATCTCATTCCGAAATGCGCCGTGCATTCTACTTCCATTCAGAGATGCAGTGGCATCTGGATGCGGCATGGCTTGTATAGCCTTGTGGTTCCAAAAAGCACTGGCTAGAATTTCGACTTGTTATTTTCCTGTGAGTGTTGAAAGCTATGGTACGTATACCATGAAAAGCTGAGTTGGGATGAAATGGTGCCCTGGTAGAGTAACTTGTAACGTACTTGCCTGATAAACAAGAAGTCGGGTTCGAGTCCCGTCTAGAGCGAAAGTTTGTTCACAACCCAGCATTTTTGTGAAACTGGCTGGAACGTACTGCAATATATTCAGTGCTTTGAAATAAATAGTTCTCAACAAAAGGAAGTTATTGGTCTTACTTTTCTTGGGAAATATGTTCATTCAACCTCCTTTATCATCCTCCCTTCTGGTGAAAATGAAGGGATCATAATTTTGCCAGATTAGCTTCCTTCTAGGGAGCGTGCCAGTCGCATAA